TCTTTTTCTTAAAAAAAGAGTCAAAAGAATTTACAAAAGATGCATACCTTCTTAACTTTATATTTACACTTGCCTTTGGAACCCAAAATGTATCGTCTTTTTTATGCCATAATCTACAAATTTGGGTATTTCTGATTAAATTTGGACTCTTGGAAGGCTTAGAATTTTTAATATGGGTTTAGACTTAATAGAATTATAAGGATCATATGAAGTAAAAAGGCAAGTTCAAGTTTATTACCGTCGCAACTTCGATCTTGTGAGTTTGAAAATTCGTTGGAATAAACTCATTGGGTGGAGGTAGTTTCAAATCATCATGTGGTTTAATATTCTTCAAATCCTATATGTTATCAATGATTATTTTGAATTTAAATCTAACAATCGACCAAAAAAGACCAAATTTATGGCGTACCTGTATAAGCTTATCGCTTAAAGGTTCCATTTTGTATTCGGTTCCATACCATTTTTCTCTTTGATCTAATCCGGTAAAAGACTGACTAATTAATGCAAGAATAAATTTATCAGGACGAAGCGATTCAAGTGATTCATTAATCAATTGTGGATTATATTCTCTCAATAGAGAAGCTCCACTCAGAACCCATTCTCTTGGGAATGGTCTATGCATAAGATTGGATAGATTTGAAGCATATCTTGATGGAGAGGATTTTTCCTCAAATTTAAACGATATTTCAGAGAGTTCTTCAACCTACAATATTACATCAAGGCGCGTTTAACATTAATGAAGTTTTATAAATATGTGAAATTAAGACGGAAATTCAAAATTACTTCACGAAAAACACTCTCTTGTGCGCCATCACGTCTCAACATTTCAATATATTGAAACACATGTACGACGACATCTTCAAAATTAGCTATATGAAAATAAATAGATTAATTATAAGAAAGGGACATATCATATCCTAAAGCCATCGTATTTCTCAATTTACCTAATCCCGTTTCAGTAAGATCAATATAAATTTTGTAAAGTCCAAACCCGCTGACTTGTTTTGTTCCAGCACCTAAGCCATTTGCCCAACCTTTCTTTTTCAATAAGGATAATATTGACCCAACTCCTTCATGTCCAATCAAATGCGATAAATATTTTCCGGGCTATTTAAAAGAAAACTTAGTACTTTTTTTTTTTTTTGTAAACGGAAACTTTTATTGTGAAACAATTACCTGAGTACGAAACAACATTCTTTGATCAGGAAAAGGCAAAGTCAAATTTAAGTTGTGAACATCTTTCACAGGTTTAATAAAAACTTGTCTCTAAAATAATCAAGTATATTTATAATTTTCAATAAAGAATACATATATATAACGTCACAAAAAAAAAAATCTTGTACATACCAACAATTCATTTTCGGTTAAAGGATTATCTTCGAAAGTAGGTACGGAGATATTTTTATTTTTGACAGCAGAAAATTTTTCAACAACCCATTGAGAGAGTTGATCTAAAGATTCTTTACCAAGTACAGCCAACTTCATAATATTGGCAGAATAATATTTATCATGAAATTTTAATAGCTCATCTCTTATGTTTAATCCTTGCTTAATTGGATTATCTCTAAGAGTTTCTAAATTTCCTGTATTAAATTTTGAAAAAGGATGTTTTGGATTCATTAACAATTTTTCCATTTGAATCATTCTCCAAATATCCGATTGTAAATTCTTATTGTTCTCTAAAAAGTATAGTAAAAGGCAATTAGGAAAATAACACAAACGAAAAAAAAAGTATATAAAATATATTAAATACCGGAATCAACCGCCAATAGTTCTCTTTCGGTACAGCTTGGATTAAATAATGGTGCAATGAAGAATTGGGCGAATTGATCTAAAGTAACATCCAAAAATTCAGATCTAACTTCAAAATAATAATTAGTGTGATCAGGTCCTGTAAAAGCATTTGAATGACCACCATGGGTTGATAGATCTTCACTATATGTATTCTCTCTTGGATACTTTTCGGTTCCCATAAATAATAAATGTTCACAAAAGTGAGCAAGTCCTTGTAAATTTTCCTATAATAATTTTTTTTTTAAAAAAGAAATTTCGATTAATTCCATCATTATGCATATAGATATATTATATTGATGTTTGAAAATTTCTTACCGGATCACATAAACTGCCAACGTGAACATCCAAAGCAGCACTTGAATAATCCGTTTTAGCATCATGAATAAGTAAAGCTTCTAATTCATTATTTAATCTAATAAGTCTATAAGACCTATCATCATTAGAAGATTTTTCAATGGGAACTGATAATACCGCATGACTCTTATCCTGTGAAATGGCAAAATGAGGTGGAAGATTTTTAAAGGATGACGCGTCCATTTTCTCTTTTATATTAGAAAAAGTGGTATGAAGTTGAGAATTTATTGAGGAAATTGGTACGAGTTGTCTAAAGTGAATAATAAATACGTAATAAAATAAAATTCTTAAGGATAATATGGAAATTATCAACTTTGACTTTGCAAGGTATTTAAGATACAAAGGCGGGTAATAAAATTTATTTAACGGCAAGTTAGGTTTAAAAACGTTACAAAGGCAAAAGGCGAGCATTAGTTTATGTCATTTACCTAAATTCGTCGAAGTTCAAATTTCTTTAGATCTTGTGGAACGGACATGATAATCTTAAATGGATTACCCAAAATCGGTTGGAACGATCTAAAAAAAACCGAACATAATGGTGGATATAATATACCCTTTAAGAAAGTTGGTTTGTTTGAGCTCAGGTAAATCTGAAAATCACATTTGTTGTTTATAAAATCGCAAGGTTTAATTTGAACGAAAGACATTAAAAGAAATATATAAAATACAGTATATAAATTTAAAATTATCTCGATAAGTTCAGAATAAATTTTCCGTTTGGACAAAGGGCATCAGGTGGAAATGACCAATATAGCTTAATGAAGGTACTTATTGTTTAGGCTGTGCTGCTTGCTTTGCTTGTTGTGCAGTGCTTGTTTGCTGTTCTGTGAACTGTTTGGTCGATCATATCATCATTGTAATTAATCAACCTGTGTTCTAGAAAAAGACAAATTCTCTTTGCATTCGTTGATGTCCAAGAATATTATGGAATAATGGACTAATTGGTGTTAAAAATGGTTGTTTCACAAGCCGGTAAATCGACTTTTGGATTAGTGCCGCATATAACAAAACGAGGAATAGATCATTGGCTCAAACGTTCAATTCTCTAATCTTTTTCCATTTAAACGAAAGATGTCATCACTTAACCATCGAATTTACAAGGTAATGAGATTTATTTCCGTCAAAAATAATTTGAAACGTTTTAATTAAGGCATGCAGCTTTTCAAAAAATTGAAACTCTTGGATTTATTATTAAGGGCCAGTTATTGGTTACTTCATTTATTGATAATAATTCATTTCTCTATTATTATGAAATAATCAGTTATTTATTAAAGTTTAAGTTTTAAGAACCGAAAAAAAACTGCTATCAGATTCGGCCACGATTAAATCTAGCGGGTTTCGAAACCTTTTTCATAAATTGTAGAAATCACGTTTCATTTAAACCATTTTACTTTGGCTTGAAAGATTGTTTATTATGAAGACAACTACTTGGAGTATTTCAATATGTCAATAGGAATATAGTTGTAAAAACAAGGCGTTGTGCGTTGTTAAGAAATTTGGAACTAAAAAGAGATGATGTTTCTAAAATAAAAATTCCTTAACAGTTAAAATGTAATCTATTACTATCGAGAAAATAAAATATCGAATCACTAAATTTCTAAAATTCCTAAAAATGTAATCTATTCTATCTCGAAAAAAAAAAAAAATTATATTGAATCACTAAATTTCTAAATTCCTAACATTCATAAGATACAAAGAGTTTCATCTATGGAATAAATTATAAAGATTTCAACGTTCTTTTCTCACCAAAAAAAAATTAGGAAATATGTTATTGGATGTTCACGTTAATCAAACGATTTCCATTTGAAGCAACTGTGGCGACGCTAGCATATGCGTGCATAATCATCTTCCTACATTCAAAAGTTGGATATTCATTTTATTATAATATGTGAAAGTGCCCAAGAGCAAAGATGATTGAAATATAATAATAATAAAAGCCATTAATTACACTGTAATTAGCTTGAATTGATATAAATACAAATATAATTTCATCGCCTGACACGGTCGTGAGTTATAGAATAAAATGCATCAAAAGAAATCGTTGTCTTTTTGTTGCAATTGAAACATGTTTGGCTTATAATTATCAGAATAAAACAGTTCCATCAATTTATTTTTTCTTTTTTTTTTTTCAAATCAAATGTTGAGCTTTAGACGCGCTTAACTTTCTTGCAACCTGCTTGGCTTGCTACACCAAAAGCATTTTGTTTATCAAAGCCCCGATCGCGCTTGCCCAATTGCCTTGGAACTAATACTTCGTGGCTGTCTTGGGGTGAAAATGAAACAGCGATTGAAGGCTTCCTTTCATAATAGTGATCGTTAAAATTTAAGACCGCCCTATCATCGCATTCTATTGCATTTTCATTGACATAAAGTTCCTGCGATGCCTCAAATGAGACGGTTGCAATTAAACTATCATTGGCACTTTCATGGTCAATTTTAGGAGATTCATCACCGGACTTGATGCCGCACGAGTCATCACAATTTTCCAATACAATATCCGGGACATCATCAATTCCAGATATGATCCCATATTTGAATATATATGGATTCAAACTATCTATTTCGTCATCTCGTTCTTCTGTCGTTTCATATTTATCTGGCTCATCATTAGCGCCATACGCTTCGAGAACACCTGAAAATATTCAAAACAAAATAATTATTTTTAGCTGTCACCTGTTCGTCGACATTCCAGTTAGTTAAAATACAGAATCTAATGTTTCTTGTTAAAATTATCTTTTTCGAAATAAAATAAAATTATAAATAGATAAAAGTTGTTTACTTTTCTCTGAATTTAAGTTATCTATTTTCAAGTCGGCAAGGCACAAAGTACGGGATATCAACAAAAATTTCCTTAATTCCGGAATTTCGGATTCCTCAAAGTCGTCAAATTCCCTAAGTTTTTTCTTGCAAATTCCCAGGATTCTTTTTCCTTTGGAAATCTCGTCCTTCTTTTCTTTATAAGATTCTTTCAAGCCATCTGGGAAAGGATGGCTGTATCGATCAAACCTAAACATCGTATGGCACAGTTCAAGTGGAAATGGTAGCTTTGGTTGGTAATAATGATAAAGATAGAATAAAGGAACATGTGACTTAGTTTCGCCGTTTTCTACCTGCAGGTCAATTGAAAAGAGTTATTTTGAAAAGGATTTCTTACATATCTTAAGTGGTAACCGAAAGTTTTGACACGAAATCTTTCAAACTTTTTTCTTTAAATTTTTGTGATAAAAAAAGAAAAATTTATTGATAATAAGGTTTATGAAATAAAAAAAAGAGCGAAAAGTAATTAATCAAGACGATTTCTATGGAAACGGAAAAGAAAAAAAAGAAGTTGGCTACAAAATTTTTTTTTTTTACGGATTAATTTATGTGTGTCATCAAGTTATATAATTTTGACGACGATCCATTTCAAAATAGATTTTTCTAGATTTGGAATTTATTTCAACCAAAGAATGAATGTTTCACCAACACAATGAATTTTTTAGTTTGCGTTGTTTGATGAATTGTTTTAGTTAACTCTGGTAACGATAGTTTTTTTTTTTAACCAAGCTTTGTTTGTTTGTTCTATTTTTTTTTTTTTTTATTTCTAATCCTAATCACATGTTTAAAAAAGAAAAAATTTTTCTTGGCTTTCACGTGATGTGATATTAAAAAAAAAGTTACTAGATACTTTGCGATTAGTAAATAGGTAATTAAAGGTAACTAATTTAAATATCACCCAAATAGGAAATGGTAATAGGATGATTAAGCTTGTATTTTTTTATTTATTAAAATTACTTAAAATAGTACAAAAATACTGAAGATTTCGATTAATAAGCGTGTTTATAGTTTATATCTGAGAATCCCTGTTTTCTGATCTCTTGTTCACTCCAAAATTTTTGTATTTTCATCAAAATAAATAAGCAATTTCGTTTATGATTTTCGATTTCAAAATATTTATATAAATAAATATGAAAATAATTATATTTTCTAAATTTTCGATCGAAATTTTGACGCCTACTTGTATGAATCTTTGGAACACGTTGATATGATTATAAAACCCAAGAAGGTTGTTCCAAGATGAATTCTTTTCTCTGCTTCAGAAATTTTAACGTGAAAACGAAAAATTCAAAGATTGCGTGGCGTAAATTAATCTGCCATAATAAATTTCGTAAATTTTTTTTTTAACAATGAAAAAGTTTCAAATAGTCAAGGCGTAACCGTGATGTATTTATAATATTGAAGGTTTAGCTAGTATAATAGAATTTCGAATTCAACTCATTTTCTTTTAGTTATTGATTACTATTATTAGCTAAAAGCTTGGCGTAAATTTCAAAACAAAATATTTTAAGTCGAGAGATCAAATCTATTACACTCTTTTTGGTAAAGTTATGATTACAATATATAACTTTTTTTTTTTTAGGTTTAAACTTGAAAATTGTGATTCATCAATCACATGTCACATTCTTCATATCGAACATCGTAGACTCTTTCGATCCTTATGTATAGGCTCAGATTGAACATTTCTATAACTTTTGAAAAATAAATCGTTCAAGAGAACAAATTAGGATTTCTATAAAGCACTAATGAGAAGCTATAAAAATAAATGATTTATCCCTTAGATCCGCCGGAATAAATGCTAATCATATAAAAATGTATCAAGTTCTATGCTTCACCATTGGAAACTTGTTGTTGAACTCATGTAGAACCCTAAGCAAGAATTATGATTATAATGATGAAATTTCACCCTTATCTTTCCAAAAAATTATTTTCACAATTATTTTACAATTCCATTAGACAATTTATACCCAATTTATGAAATCCTTTTAATCGGTTTCAAAAGGCAAAAGATATCAAACTTAAAACTTTATATAGGCAAACTGTATACAGTATAGTAAAAATCTATTTTGCAGCATTGATAACCGTCAAAGTTTCGAGTTTTTCGATAAACAATTTACCTTCATTTTATTTTAAATCTAGTTTTTTTGAAATTATTAATTTGGCTAAAAGTTTTTTAAAATATTTACTAATTCAAATAATCAAATATTATCAAAAATAATTCTATTATGATATATCACAATTCCTACGAAATTAGAATTATCTAGGTAAATATTTTGAAAGATAAAAAACAAGGAAGAATAATTTTGTCGAACACTTACAAAATCTATCAGGAAACAAGACGGGAGCAAGCAAAGACCAATAATATAATAAAAAGCAAATCCAACTTGAAATAACTTTGACCCAAACTATGGTAAAACTTTGACCAATTGCAACCAACTTTTCATTGCCAGTAATTGTAATGGTATTCCTACAACAGATAGGACGTTTAAAATTCAATTTTTTTTTTTTTTAAAAAAAAAAAAATATTAAAGTAAAAAATATTCATCTTAACGATAAACTTACCAGTTCGTCAATAACATGGCAACATACATAGCAGCAATTGCAAATATGAAGTGAAAGAATACGTAATTATAAGCAACCTCATGTTTTTTACCGTCTACAGGATCATAACTGACCTTTTCTCCTTTTTCAACCAGAGATGATGAAGGTAGAATCCTAAATAATAAAAAAAAAAAATGATGAGATAAATTATTTGACTTGTTTAATCGATTGATTCACTCACCTTCTTTCAACATCATCATCATCTGGAAAATGCTTTGAGGGTAAGGATTGTTCATCTTTGGGCTCGTTTGTCATCAAAGGGATCATATCATGCATATCATCAGCAACATAATCATCACAATTAACACGATGATATTTATAATGATGGTCTGAAGAAGAAAGGTAGTTCATTAATAACGCCTTGCCTTGACTAGCTGTTCTTGAAGTTGAATAAGCGATAGCCAAAAAAGTAAATAAAGATCCAAAGACAACTGATGTTTGTCGTGTTTTATGAGGGGATTTTAATGGATTACACATGTCATGAGGCGGTTCGTTCGTCACTGCACTTAAGATTAAATAAGTACAATAAATTACCACCATTGATGCTTGTGACAATCCCGAACGAGGATTTCCTTCTTGAATTTTTGGTTGGATACATAATAATATTCCAAGTACGCATAATATCAAATTGAATGATATAAAAAATTGGTTGACAGAACATCCTGATCCGGCAAAGAATTCATACATTAACGATGTCATCAATATTGCGCCAGCAAACATTAAAAGTGTTGACCAAATAAGAATGATTTTCCATTTGTTATTATTAGATTGATCATATTTGTCCAGGCACTTTTCACTCCAAGTGTGCGCAAAATCTACCAAGAGAATTAATCCGACAAGGATAAATATTGTTGCCCCGATCAATGAAACATAATTTCCCCAAAACAAAAAAAGGTCATTTGGGATGAAAAATGTTCCAATAATAAGACTTATCCAGAATATCACCTTTGGTCCCCACCATCTAATACATATAAAAAGAGATATATGCTAAGATGAAGTATGCGGCGGCTAAGAAACCAAGAGAACGAACAACTTTTAATTGTAATTTACCCATTTTGGATTGCAGCTCGAGGATCACGCGTATCTTTAACACCAACAACCAAACCTCCCAAAATAAAATGGAACAATGAAAGTGCAAAACAGATTCGATGAACCTAAATCATAACATTAGAATTCTAAAGTATTTAAATGATAATATACATTGCATGATTTACCGTTAAAACTCCAAAACAACTTCCTTCTGGGCAATTCAATTGTAAGGATTTATGTATATTTTTCTCAAGTTTTTTAGCAACCCAATCAGACATCATTACCCATGCAAGCTATTTTAGAAATGAAATGATTGATCAGAATATTCGCAATACGATACGTATAAACGATTTTCTAATTTACTTACGATTGAATTCAAAAGTAGCATTATCTAAGGTTAAAAGACGTTGTTGATTAATCAATATTCAATTTCTGATCGAAGAATGTTTATTTACTTACTGCATAAGCAACTCTTGCTACTTTAGAATCACAACAATGACGTGTTCGGAAACATGCTGCGGCTGAAAAACACGAAACGAAACATGATGTTATGGCGCCAAGTCCTAGGAAGTTGGAGGCAATTCCCATTTTCTGATAAATAGGGTCTTGGATATTTTCCAGGGAAAATCTATCACGGGAAAATAAATTAAAATTATTCGTGGCACAGCAAAATTAACGTGGCGCAGTCGCAATGTAAAAATTTTAATATTCTAGAATTTATTGAATTTTAACACACAAAAGGGCTATAAGCACTATCCTCACAAGAGGCCACAGAATATTCCAAAATTAAAATGTATTATATATAATGTTAGGATTGATACCTTATTATGAAGAGATCAATAGCAGAAGCAAGAGAGACCTCCCCAAAAGACTCGACAAGAATCAAAGGTAGAATGAAACAAAGCCTTTTATAATAAAATTTTTAATGTTTCATCTATTAATTCCGATTTGATGATATAATAATGAATAATGAGAATGTTCTGTTTAGATAAGTTCGTCAAGGGGATAAAGAGACAATGGAACAAAAACAAAAGTAAATAAATAAATTAATTAAATCAGTTTGCCACTTGACAATGTCATGTGATAATGAATTTTTAATTGAAAAATAATTTTATCTTGAAATGAACTAAATTGAGCGAAATTTGTAACAAAAGTGCATATATCGGGATATTCACTTTGCATCGCGGAGAAAACTTTTTACATTATATGTTTAGATTTCTTCTCATATCGAACTAACTCAATAAAGAAATATCTCACGAGAATTTTATTTTTTTTTTTGTTGTTTTTGACCTATGCTACGAGCAATAAATTTTTATCAGATGTCAATATTTATCGTTATGTACGCCCTTTATCATTTTGTAACACTAACCTTTTTTGTTTTTTCTTTTTTTATTGATGTGTAACATTAAAACAGACAATAAATAGATAAATAAATAAAGATCATAATGACCATGGGTTATCTTAGTTACAAGGGGCATTTGACCTTCTCTATAATGAGTACTTTATTAGAAAGGGAGAAAACTGCCGAAAAAAAGAATTTTTGAATGCTAAATATGGACATATTATATACACCACATATAAAGTAAGTTTTTTTTTTTTTTTTCCAAATGACAAAATTGTCAAAATATGTTCAAATTTAGCACTAATTCATTTTTTTATTTTTTTCTAGCAATTTCCCCCTTTTCTATTGCAAAGGTCCCAAATGACCAAAATCAAGACGAAATTTTGACCGAAATTTGGGTTTTTAAAAAGGTTTCATGTCTCTTCAACTGTTAAATTGTATAAATCATCGATTAGTTCATCATCAGCTACTTTACTAATAATGCAAAAAGAAAGTCATTTCCCCATATGCGCACGAATTTTTATATTAGAACTTTCAATTTTAAAATTAATTTGACGTAAAGTTCATAGTATTATTCAGATTATGATTGTTCCCAAAGTTAAACAAAAATATTCTGATGTTTTATATATTACGAGTTTTATTATAAATATTGAAAATCTACATATATTAAAGCTCGTAATAATGGTCCGATTATTTTTCTGTAATAAAATTTTCTCGATATAATGAACTCTTACAGAAATAAGAAACTTTGCCTGTATATAATAAATTAATATAGGATGACAGTATAAAAAGTATTCTTTGTATATATATATTGCAACAATTTTGTTAAATTCGCTGTGGAAATTTACGTCTTTGTTTGTATCGAATTAATAAGTATGTATAACCAAAATACCTAATTTTAAATAATGTTTTTCTTTTGATGCATAATTTTATATGTTCTAAAATTTAAAGCTTATGTAATATATAAAAATAAAACGGTTATCTTCTAATTATTTGAAATACCTCATAATCCTCTATAGAAAAACAATCATCAGTATCACGTATCTTTTTTTCATAACTACCTTTTTGACAATAATTTGAATAATCATCTATTATTACGTTAAATGAATATATGATAAGATCGGATCCAAAACCTGGTCCGTCATTAATTTGATAGTATAAAGCACGATCTTTCATAACCACATTACTTTGGATCGCATCCTTAATCGAGTTATTCTCCTTTTTAAAAGAAAATATAAAGCTGTCTTTAGCCTCGTTCCAACCACCTCCAGGTTTCCATACTATGGGATTATATCCTCCCAAAATCTCGTTCGATCCCTTTACTTTAACAAAGGTAACATTATTTGGTTTACCATCGCATAATTTATGAAATTTATCTGGGGTAAAACCATCTCGGCTCCCTCTAAACAATAATTCAAATTTGTATGGTAAATAAAATTCTCTTAAATGAGAGAAATTACTGTTAAAGTCAATTTTATCAATCCATCGGGAAATCATTGAAACGACATTTAAATTAACAATTTGTGAATCAAGGATTCCATCAATCACAATACTTCTAGGGAATAAAACATGATCATTTGGTTTGCTATCAGGGTCCATATAAGAACCCATCAAATCTTCATAAAATTGTTGATTTAAAAGTTTCTCAAATGGTCTAACCTTTCCAAAGAATTCTTTTGAAGATAAACTAAAAAATCTAACCAGAGGCAGGCAACGTTGCAAAGTACATTCCATCATTTTGAAATCATTATAGGTCCAAGTTACCGGATCCGAGTCAAGGGTTGGATTTCGTGCAAGACCCCAATTTAACACATGATCCCAAACTTCTACTTCTTTCATTTGTAAATCGTCCTTTTTAATGAATGATAATAAAGTTCCTTCGGGAAGTAAGGTAGAATCAAGTGAGGTAAAAAATTTCTCGGGGGTTTTGACCATTAAATCCGTACAGAATTTTTGAAGTTCTGATAAACCATTAGATTGAAAGCAAGCTCGATATGTAAGCTCAAAATTTTGTTCCATCCATTCGGATTTGTTATTAATCAAATACTCTTGCAAATAATCGGTTAACTCCTGAATGAGAAATTCATTAGCAACGGTCAAAACTTTAAGGATGTTCAAAGAATCTTGCTCATTTAATAAAAGCATGCCACCATAAATGTACCTATATCAAAATAAAATAAAAAAAATTTAAATTTAAAGATTAAAAATTATCAAATCGTTATTATGTATATCACACACTTACACTAAGATGATTTGAAAGATCTCCGGTGAAATACCTGGCAACTTCAAATGAGTCAAGGCAGTATGATTTTTTTTATTTGAAGTTAAAGCCCTTCGAAAACTCGGAGAACGATAACATAAAATATTCATATGCGCACGGAAATTTTTTACATTAGAATCCTTACCAACTTCAATTGTAATATCGTAAAATTCATCATCTTCCAATAATTCAATGTAATCTTTACTTAAATTTAGTAAAAATTGGTTTGACATATTTGTTTGTAAATTTTTAAAATAAAAAATGTGGAATAAAGAGGACAATTATTAATTCGTCAAAAAAAAAAAATTTTTTATATATACATTAGGGGGAATGGTAAATCTATGAAAATTTATTCAAATATGGTTTAATATCTGTTGTCGGATAAATTGTTGCTCCAAATTTTTTTATTTACATGATGAAAATCAATTAATTTCGAACCCTTTTGCTAAAAAAATAAAAATAAAAATATTTAAAAGATTGTTAAGTTCGTCCATAAAATAATTTCATTTTTAACGAATCTGTCCAAATGCATAGTTTCAACTAGCGATCGACCGAACGGAATCTAAAAGTTAAGAGTATTATTATAAAAAATAATTTTATTTATAGATTAAATTAATATCTAATTTATTTTTGTGTAGCATACTCGTTAATACGTATATTCTCGCTCATTAAATTCCAAATGTTTGTTCCATTTCATTTTGGAAACAAAAAGAAAATGTAATGTAAACTTACATATATGCGTAAAACAAATGAATGGTATTGAAACAAAAAAACAAATCCGTGAAACACAATCGGAAATTCACGTAGTTTCAATTGATCCAGGAGTTCGTACTCCATTCACAATGGTATTCTTCAACAAAAGGTAGTCGTATCTTTCGTTTATGTAAACACATGAACAATCTCATATCAAAAAAAAGATAGACTGGTATCTTCAACCTCATTACAAATGATCAGACGGGATTCATCCAGGTTAACTGATGAATTTGACATGATTGGTATTCCTCCTTTTAAGGTTTCAAATATGGTAAACAGCAAAACACGAAAGGTAACAAGGAAACAGTTAGAAAGATGCTTTGTTGGTCTCATTACAAATTTCGATTGGTTTCCAAAAGGGAATCTATGTGATAATTAAAATAAAGCTTAACATTCAGAACATTGGAGGATTGGATGTGGTATAAAAGTAGATCGATATTAATGGTGCCCGAGGGATATTCCTTCGGGCTTTGCTTGATGGATGCCATTCATAATTGATGTGTTACATTCCATCCCAAAACTCATTAAATTGTGAAACAAATGAAATGAACTCATTTACAATAACATAATCAAAATTTATAATCCTAAACAAAATAACCTCCTAATTCAACAAATTAAAAAGCTTGTAATATTAATATGAAATCCGTTTGTACTTTTAAAGAAATTGGCTTAGACGATTTATCGGCTTGTAGTATTTATATCGAAGCATTCAAAATAAGAAATTTGATAGTCCTTGAACTTCACATTACACAGACTATGAAAATTTTCCATATTGTTACTAATTTTGGGTAATTTATAAATTTATAAAGGATTCGTTGTTTGAATTTCTAACCTCTATATTCCGTTAATGAGAACCGATAATTCCTTTAATTCCCTTTTGTCAATTGCGATCACCTCCTTCCATAACAATCGTAAAAAACTGCAAATAATACAATTTTTTTATAAACCATTTGATTTTTATCATTTAATTTTACTCCCTTTATTATACAACTTTCTTTGGCTTAGCGGTGGCTTAATAGTGGCTTAGTCGCCTTAATTATTGTTTTATCGGTTTCTTGTAAAATAAAAACGACATAACCTGTCCATGAAGGATATTACAAAGAGAAAAAAGTTAAAGCAATAAAGATGAGAATTATGAAATATATATCATTACCTTCAAAAGAAACTGAGCATGATCCACGAATAACCTCTGTGAACGAGGCTGGGGAGCTGGCGGATCCTCAGTGGAACAATTCGGCAGATTCCCCAGGCAGTGATAATATTAGATTTGATAATACTGAGGATGAACGAGAAACCATGCTTAATAAAGAAAGAGGAGAAGAAGATACTGTGGTTGACATGGACGAAAGTTTGGATGCCCTCGATTACGGAAAAGAGGTGAGCCACTTCAAAATATTTTATATTATTGATTTTATATATTTTATGTGCAAAAAACTTATTTCATATTAATCATTTCATAGAAGAGAGATAGATCGATATTACCGTGTTTGTGCATTGCCGGTGTATTCATTCTAGCATGGATAGTTTCGGCCATTATTTATGGATTTTATAAAACAGGTGCTTCAAGTGCTGAAAACTTAGCTAATCGAATACAGTTCGATGATTTGTATAATAAAAGCTTTTATCCTGAATTTAAAGATTTGATATGGAACATGGCTGATGGTATGTCAATTCAATAAATGACTTTAAATGCTTTTCCCTTCCCCCCTCTTTTTTTTTCCTTTTCATCAAAAGATTAATCGATGAGCTACAATCTTTAGGTGAAGATGGTACGTTCGTGTATCGGGATCATCATGACAATATCATATTGGAGCGAATTTCAGATCGGAAAAAGGAAACGTTAGTCAAAGGAACTGATATCATCGATGTTAGTGTTTTAGCGCATTTGCGCAGATTCATGTTTCATTCATTTGTTTTGCTTTAAAATTTCTCAATTCGATGATTATTATTATTAGCATGATGGGACTCCTATTTTCTACTCTGATTTTTCTATCTCCCCGGATTCAAATTACGTTTTGCTATCAATTAATAAAACAAAGGTAAATATCGTTTATTATTATATCATGAATTTATAATATCTTCTAACATCATCTCTTTATTATTAAAGCAATGGAGATATTCACACTTTTCAAACTATTTGATTTTTAATATAACATCGAAATCAATATTCCATCTTACGAAACCCATTGACGATGATCATCAAGCGGTACTTTCTTATGCTCAATGGAGTCCTGTTGGTCACACTGTGGTAAGGTGATATTATGTATGGTTTTCCATTTTAAAAGCATTTGAGTTGAAGTTGGTTTCTAACTAGTTCAATAATTTATATGCCATAGGCTTTTATCAAAGATAATGACGTATATATATCTGTAGATTTAGTAGATGAAAGACGTATTACATTTGATGGTTCGGCTGTGGTCTTTAATGGTATGCCGGACTGGATTTATGAAGGTATTGATATTTAACCTTGATTCTACTCAAAGAAAATATTCTGAATTCAAATTAATCATTTGTATTTAAAATATTTAGAGGAGGTTCTTAAAGCAGATAACGCGATTTGGTGGTCTGGTGATGGGAAGCGTCTTGCTTATCTTCGTTTAAATGAGTCGGAAGTTCCTGAATATCGATTTCCTATGTATATGACTGGTTTTGAGGTTGCTCCCTATCCTAGAGAAGTTGTTCTAAGATACCCTGAACCGGGATATCCAAACCCGATCGTAACTTTACATGTCTACGATTTGGAAACACCGTTACGCTCTCAATCCGGTTTTATTCGTTTTGAAGATGATTTGCCAGATGATGATAAATTGATTACGGAAGTTATGTGGGCTGGAAATGAGAAAATTTTAGTAAGAGTTATGAATCGCGTTCAGGATATAGCAAGAGTGGTTCTTGTAGACACAAATACTCGTATGGGAGTAACGGTTCGTGAAGAAAATGCCGATAAAATGGATGGTGGTTGGTACGAGATTGTAAGTTTATTTTCAAATTTAATTTATTATCTGGTGATTTTTTCATACCCATTTGAAAATTTCAAATTATATTGATTCGACGTTATTATAATTCTTTTTAATAATGTAGAATAAAAGTTGGGTTTACATTAAAAAAACGGGTAGTCTCGAACAAGACGCTTATGTTGATGTGGTGGTGAATAAAGGTTACGATCATCTCGCTTTATTTTCACCCATCGGCTCAAACACTCCAAAGTTTCTCACTAGTGGAAATTGGGAGGTTGATGGCAGCGCGTTAGCAGTTGATTATGATCGAGAATTGATGTAAGGATTTGAATGTTTGAAAATTTTTTTGAAATGATCGTCCATTGTAAATTTGAATATAGTTGTTTTTAAGTTATATGATTGACGTATCCAATTATATATAAATCTATATGATGTGCGAATTGACGTAATTTTTAAGATTAAAAGTCTGCAACCCATAGATCTTACATTCTAAAATTTGTCATTTGTTAGATATTTCATTAGTACAGAGAAGTCTTCAACAGAGAGACATATATATTCTGTAACCTGGGATGGAAAATATATAACACCAATAACGGATATCAGTAGTGAAGGTTATTATTCAGCTAGCTTTTCACCGGGTGCTCAATACTATAATTTATTATATGAAGGTCCAGGTGTTCCTTGGCAAAAAGTATTGAAAATTGGGGACAAAGGTAGGTTTCAATCAATCAGGGATTTTGAACTTTATTCAGGAACTTTTTTACTTTATAGGTTAAACCATGATTAATATTTATTTAGATTTTGGAATGGTTTTGACTGAAAATAACGAGCTCAAAGAAATTATGAATTCCCTTGAATTACCTACAAAGAAACATCTAACGATTGAAATTAACGGAACTGGTAAGTTTCATTTTATCACATGTTTTGTTGTTGAAGATAAAAATAATCCTCCTAATCAATCCTACTCGATACGAAAACAGCTTTCAATGCCATCGAAATAAGACCACCAGGAATGGATGACAGTGGAAAGGAAAAGTATCCGGTGTTATTCAATATTTACGGAGGTCCAGCTTCTCAACTTGTAAATACAAAATTCACGATGAATTGGCACACGTTTTTAGCCTCGTCGGATCGATTAAAGTATATCACGGTACTAGTTGACACGCGCGGTACAGGATTTCAGGGAAGATCATATAGATGTATCGTTAGAGGACGTTTAGGTGAAATTGAATCAGAGGATATAATTAATGCCGGACGTTATTGGGCGAATTTACCATATGTTGATTCAAATAGAATGGCAATATGGGGTTGGTCCTTTGGAGGATTTTTAACAACAAAGGTTATTGAATCGGATTCTGGAGTTTTCCAAGTTGGAATGGCCGTCGCACCTGTAACTGATTGGAGGTAAGTAGTCAAGTAATAATTTATAATGGATTTATTCGTAAAATATTTATTCATTCATTTTATTTCAAACAGATTCTATGATTCTATTTATACCGAACGTTATATGAAGATGCCATCACAAAACCCCAAAGGTTATGAGAATAGTGCTATTACTAATATGACAGGTTTCGAACATGCTAAATTCTTGGTTGTACATGGAACTGGTGATGGTGAATAATCTTTAGCCTTTTTTTTTTCTTTTTGCGGTATTGACATCGTATTTCCGTTACTAACTCACAATCATTACATTGCGTGCGTTCCAACCTCCTGTATAGACAATGTTCACTTCCAGAATACAGCTAATTTAATTGATAGGTTAACTCTTGCATCCGTACATAATTATCGTGTACAGTTCTTTACTGATAGCAATCATAATATTGCTAAACATAATGCTAATCGAGAGGTATGATTCTATGATACATTATTATTTTGGAATTGTACAATATCTAAAGTATAATAAAAAAAAAATTTGCTTTTTTTTTTTTTCCTAATTCTGTAGCTTTATTATCTGCTCACGGAATATCTTTGGCAAAGTTTTGGGACCGGAGGATAAACTGAAATTAATTCATTGTAAATACCTTTGCATTTTTTAATGGTTGTTTTCAAATGATTTTTATAAAAAAAATTTTATTATTATTTTTCACGAGATTAATTAGGTATTTATTTCATTTTGATTTTTTTATCATCAATTTTGGATGAAAAAAAAAAAATTTCCAAAGACATTGAGTTTCGGATTGTTAGAAGTGTTAAAGACTATATAATTGTTATCAAATAATTTAGTTTGCATTAATTTCTTAAAAATTTTTTTTGTTATCTATAATAATAATCATTGTTACATCATGTTTATGAGATTTTAAATTATTGAATATGACGTAAAAAATAAATTTCGTTCAGGTCAGTATTATTAATAGTCACGTGAAACAAATACGTTCCGACCCAGTCCGCAGACACAATTAATGCTGCGGTCGCGCGTCATGATTTACAATCTTTATATGGTATTCTTTCATCAACTTTCATAAACGCGTTCGTTCATTGAACTATCGGTAATGGAAATTACACACGGGTTGGTTCAGAATCTCTTTGTTACGTTATAATTCCTTGTATGTCATTATTATAAATTATTATATAATTGGCACATTAGATGGTTTACCAACTTACTTCCATTCTTTATAGTATTAGTAATATTAGTAATACATGTTGTCAATATCAATATAATATAAAATAAAAAATTAGAACTCAAAAACTAGAACATTAACAAACCTTTAATTTTTTGAACAACCAATAATAAGTTGTTTGCTTGTTTGCCACCAAAAGTTTCAATAAATTCTACCTTTTGCAATTTTGGAATTTTAAAATTTTAAAGGCGCGATTAAAAGAAGATATTCCAACATGCACTCGTCTACGGACTCTTATAATCCAAATAACAGACGTTTAGTTGGAGAGGGGGGGTCCCCAACAGCAGAACACATAGGAGTATCCAATAAAAGGGGGACAACGGTCTCCCCATACTTATTGGAAGTGTGGAGAGAAGAACTGGTGTTTTGGAAGAATCATGACACTTGTCGCAGAATGTTTAACGTAAATAAATATAAGTCTTTTCTTTAAGTGTAAATAGATATGAAATGAAATGATTGTATACGCCGCAATAATAATATCATTCAAAGTTTTCGAAAGTTCAGCCCTTCCCATTATAAAAGACCGCTCAAATAATATCATTGTTATTCCTTTAACATTAGTGGGTACGAGAGGTGCTTGGAAGTCTTGACGAGAGTTTCCTTAGGAAAATCTTCAACAAGCTCCTCCATGATGGTGAGCTTGTCAATGATCACGTTCGAATATATCTACACATGAATGGTTACAGCGTAGAAGGACGAGATATTATCGATGTTAGTACTTAAATACCGATTGTGTCAATACGTTTTATGATTTTACGTTCATCCACTAATCTCTTCCTATTTTTTTTTTTCGTAATACTAGACTCCATACTGGATGCATATCGCGTTTCTCCAGGTAATGCATTTAATATATCTAGACGATGACATCATGCTGTCTGAATCAATTGAAGAACTAACGTGGCCGCGTTTAAAGCACAAAAATGCAAAGAGTAATTAATTCTTATTTCACTTTTTTTTTTTCATTTGATCAATCGCTTCTCTTGAAATGTTGAAATTTACGAGATTATTATATTTCTAGACATTACAATCATGCTAAATATGTTCTTTGAATATTTAAAAGAAAGACCATTTTTGTTGGGGGAATTTCCTATGAACAATTGGGAAAATAACGTTGACCATGTTGACAGCGCTGAAATTTCCACTGATATTTTTGATAAAAGTGCTGAAGTATCTACTCAAATAGGTGTCGGCGAGAGCTGTGTAGAAAAGGAGGATCGTCCGAATGAAGGCGCAGCAAATCCGATTAACGAAATGGATTCTGCTCTTTATACCGATCGCTCAGAAAGTGAAGATAATCATATCAAAGATATTTGCAATGACACTGAACAATCTAGTTCCGTCAGGATTTTCTCCAGCTCATCTCCTCCACCTTCAAGCGTCGACGCCTCCGCAGATCATCTTCAGAATAACGAAGGCGCAACAAATCTAACCGATGAAAAGGGAGATGAACTCGCTCGCCTAACAGATATCACCAACTGTGCGACCGAGGATATGATTGCAAAAACGGATAATCAAACCATTGCTGTTCCATCCTTGATGGATTCACATCCAGCTTGGAATAGTATAGTATTCAAAACTTCCCTACACAAGTCAGCAAAGTTCAAAGTGGCAATCGAGGAGAAAGCACAATTCAACACAAATGTATTTAATGATTTCTTTGGAGTGGATCAGGAACGCGTTTCGAAGACGGCAGCAAAAGTCAAAAATGGCATCTTTTTTGGGCTCACTGTCTTTTTTGCAGGTAATTTTACGCATCCCTATCTTTTAAATCAAATTTTATTATGTTTATTACAGTCAAGTTATTAAAAAATTTTTTTCCCTTTATAGATGATGCAGCTTCACATGCTGGTCAAAATCTAAAGGCACTTGTTGCAAGCAACGGAGGTAAAGTTTAGTAAGTTATTTGTTGATTATTAATCTATTGATTTCAATTTCAATCTTAATTTTTTTTCTAATCGAATGATTTATAAATTTATGCAAAACAGCTCTAAATTAAGGAGAACAGTAACTCATATGGTGACGAAGTTACCAGTCCCTTGGTATAAGATTGAGAACTTGCGACGCAACACAAACTGCCGAATCGTCAATCCCGAATGGGTTTTAGAATGCCTACGAGTCGGCCGACGTATTTGTGAAAGTGCATTTAACATGGTTGGACCCCAACAAGTGAGTATGATTTTTTTTTATATAACTTATAATTTTATGATTTTTTTTAATATGATAATTGTACATGGATTATTTTTTTCAATCAGGAACAACAAACAATTCAAAACTTTTTAAATAGAGATATCAATGCTCAAGTAAGGTTTGGTGACGACCTTTCTAATACAAGAAGGAAAAGAAGAGAATTCGATGAAATTTTTGATGAACTTGAAGATAAAAACAAGAGGTATAGGATCAACTCTTATATTGACCCTGATAATTATGACACCTCGTACATCCAAGATCCTTCCTTCATTCAAGAATGGCACAGAGAAGTAGATGTTGACGTTGACGATATGAGCATATTATCAGAAAGTACGAGAATTTCCGATTTATAAGGAAACGAAGAAATTTTTAAATACCCTGGATGTATAATATTTTAAAATTTTAGATTATGATGACTACCGAAAAAAAAACTTAAATAATTTTGATATTTATGTAAAGTCTGCGGACTAAATTAATTAATTCTCTCGTTAGAAACACACATTATATAGACAATAGGAAATTAACAGATTCAAAGTATTCGTTGGATTGGGACACGCGATGTATTATTAAAACCTGTGAAAAGGAAGGGCAAAGGGACGGTATTTTTCCCGCTTTAACTTAAGCATTTCTACAAAAAGGGAAAAACTTTGTGAACTTTGTCCGAACGCGCATTTTTTTTTTTAAATTAGAGCTTTTTTAATAAAAAAAATATATATACATATAGCAATCTAATTATGTGCTTACTTTTTATTAATATCGAAAAAGAATTAAACCTGTTAAATGAATTGTTCGTTTTATTTTGAATTACTGGAAAGGACAATTTAATGTAAATAAATAATGTTAAATAAAAAAAATATATATATATTTTTTGTGCTTCACCATATTTATGAATGAATGAATTGACCCTGGCTAGACACGTTAAAATTTTGAAAAAAATTTTTATTAATTTGAAATCTACGCCTTCATTTTAACCGCAGTAATAATATTTATTTCACATGGATAAATTCTTATTTTATTTCAAAAATTAAATACAAGAATTTTTTAAATTTTATTAAGATTAAAAAAATATTAAAAACTAAATAATTTTCATTACAAAAAAAATAAAAATAAAAAAATCTACAATTGAAATTTTTTTTTTTTCCAAGTTCTGATAAAGCCAGGTAAGAAAATCCTCAAAGAACCTCCAACGTCAATTCGGATCCATTTCCGTAAGTATAATAGAAAAGGTTAGAAATCGATATCGACCTCGCTCAAGCAGCCAGCCAATTAGTGTTTACGTTTAATTTTTAATCGACTTCCATGAGATATTCCAGCGTAGAAAAAAAAAAGTCACAACCTTCACAAGATAGAGAAGGGGGTGACTTTTTTTTAAAAGTCCAACCTCAACCTTCAAGGTAGAGAAGGTTGGACTTTTTTTTAAAGTCCAACCTCAAGTTTAGATAGAGAAGGTTGGACTTTTTTTTAAAGTCCAACCATCACCTCTATCGAGGTATAAAATGTTGGACTTTTTTGTGTATAAGTTGTCATTTTGACAAACTTATACCGTTATGTATTTTTGTGTATAATTTGTCATTTAGAGATATAAAAGTTTTGAAATTTTGTATAAACGATGGCATTTTTTATTTTTGACTTTTAAGTCGGGGAAGTAAAAAAAAAAAAAAAATTTCGGACAATTTATATAGAAAATAACAGCATTTGTCACTTTTAAAACAAGACAATACTATCATTTGTAGAGTTTTTCAGCCTCATCTAATCTAATCTTTATCAGCTTTCATTTCTTCTACAGAATTACAAATGATTGATCATTTGACCATGTTAAGGTACCGATTTACACAATTGTTGGGTTCAAAATACTAAAAAAGGATTCAATAAAAGTTATTCGATTCATTTAAATTTCTTAAAAGAAAATAGGGCTTAGGATTACGAGAGTATTACAAAAAAAAAATAGCACCTGAAGATTGCATGTGGATGCATGCATAACAGGATTTTCTGCAGTGACCAATACTAAAAAAAAAAAATATAATTTTTCTTGTATAACTAATAGGTGTCCAGGATAGGTTGGCGTGACAGCCCAAAAATCGCACGTGATTTTACGATTTTTATCGCGCAACTATAATTCTAGCCGAAATTTTATAATTTTTAGTAAATTGACCAAATTTATTATAACAAAATAAATGTAAAA